ATGATATCGTTGATGTTGGTATAACAATTGAAGTACAATTCCAGTAATAAGAGGTATTTAAGAGACAATTTATAATACTTATATATGGGCATCTATCAAGACAAAGACATAACAAAACAAGTCATAATTGTATAGACTTTCATCGGAGTACCTCTCCGACCATTTTCGAAAAAAACGACCTCCCCTTTTACATGCTGGTCTATTGAACGAAAAGAGAAACATCCCGTTCTCAAGGTACTGCTTCAATATAGAGATCACTCGTCCCTTCCGGTGCTATCATAAGGTATCTATCACGCATTACAGATATTTTACCTGACCTTCTTTTTCTCGGTCTAAAACATCTATTCACATCGGCCTTAATGTAAATCTCTCATAATTGTAACTCATTTCTGAACATAACTCGATTATACATGGCTGAGAACGAGTCAAGCCACCGGTAGGCATGTTCAGTGTAAATACAGAATTCCTTTTAATTCCTTTGTAAATACAGAAAACCTTTTCATAGAATTTACTTCTAAATCTTTATTTATTTCTCAATTTCTTTGCTTTTTAGCAAATGTTTCACAAACGTCAAAGAAATCAAGAGTTTATTTTGTCTTTTTCCTTCAGGTACAGCTGCTTATTGCAGGCACTAAGATCGACGGAGACAATACTGATTCAAATTAAAGGCAAGACGGATGGCGGTTCGCTAAAAGTGCTGGTGAAGTGGGCAAGTTTGCGATCATAAATGAAAGATTCATCTCGATTAATTGAAACGAATACTTCGGAACAATATTTCGGATTTGCTGATCAAGTCAGAGTTGTGAAAAAGTCAATTCAATACTATATGCACTTTATCATTAATGCCATTTTTTCTCTTTTCTTTTCCAGAGTCAAATTAGGAGTAAATCCAATAAAATCGTATCAAAATATAAAAATCAAAATCGCTGAATATAAAACAAAATCCTCGCCTTTAACAATAAAAAACAGGTACGGAGTTTAAAAAAATAATTATACATGTCCATTTATTTATTTGTTGTTTGTGAATAAAGAGTTGTTGCAAATCGTAGCACGCTTTTCTTGAGAAGGTTTCTACTTCAATGTAAGTATTTGGCCAAAAATCACAGAGTGTTATTTTTCAGTTTCCAATTAAAGTTCTAGTTAATTTTAGGCGTTCACCCCCTCTTTAACCACATAAAATTAGATTTTGCCCCCCTGGGCCCTCCCCCCCCCTTATTGTCTGGTTATTTGTGCTTATTTGATTAATTGTTGTACGTGTTGTTAAAAAGTAGAGATCTGGAGATGATTATGTGTTGATGAATCAACAAAACCGACTACTTGTGTCTATGGCTCCTAAAAAACGATAAGATCTGCTGACGCATCAATCCTAACCCCGGTTACACGAAATACTATTTGAATGATTTCGAAATATCTCATTTAATTTCCAAAAAATGAACGTCAGCCAATTACCTTGCCTTAAGTTAGCTTGTTGTTTTTTTATTGTGATCGTATCATTTTTTTTCGCAGGCAAACGAAGTTTCAAGGTAACTTAAACAGACCATGCTCCAAAAAAAATATGTATGACGGGACTGCAATAACGCAGAATGATATTTCAAGTCTCTCTACTTCCCTAACTCCCCCCAAAAGAAAGTAACCATTAGCATCCAGGCTTTATCTGTTTTATAATTATGTGTAGTGCTTGTGACATGCTTATTGACCACATAAATGACAGGGACGAAAACGATAGTTTCAATAGGGATTTTACGA